TCTCTCTCTCTCTCTCTCTCTCTCTCTCTCTCTCTCTCTCTCTCATTCCATCCTCATACCATTGCAAACCATCCATAAACAAAAAATGTAGAGATGAGCAATGTACTAGAAGGTGCAAGGTTCCCCACGTCTGTGTGGTTAAGGAAGTGCCCACACACCCGTCTGCTGCTGAAGCGGCACACTTGCACAAATATATATGATGTAAACTCGTGTGCCGAATTGAGCCACTGGGCTCTCGTCGCGCCTGCAGACAAGCACGAACGGGCAAACTTGGAAACAGAGGGGTCAAACAGGCCTTAGAAATGGCCCGGACAGACAGTTGACCGAACAGTCAACAGTCAGCACGTGGACTCCAGCCCAGATCTGAGAAGTCAAAGTCAACACATAAGATTTCCTGGCCATTGATCTGGAATGATCTAACAGTGGTCTGCAGGTTCTGGAAGATTCGGGCCTCAAGGAGTCCTGACCGAGACTGGGACAAATCAGATCTGAGCCGTCGACATTTGGGAGAATCCGAAGCCTCACCTGGATAGATCCTGACCGGAACAGAGCGAGTCAAACACTACATAAGGCTGACCTCGCCACTGCTTGGGCATTTAGTCTTGCGCGTCGCTTGCGACGCTGCGAGTGAGGCTTGAGAGGAGGGTGCTGGCGCCATGCTGTTTCGTGCGCGCCAGCCCGACACTAGAGTATAGGAGGGAGAGGCAGCCATTGCTGGAAGGATAGTCGACGACGAGATAGTGAGGCGAGGGAGAGAGAGTGTGGGTGTAGTGTGAGGTCGTGAGTGCGTACCTGGTCTTACCTGGTGGGACGCTGCTGCTGATTCTGCTCGCCGCTGGAGGTTTGCCATCTGCGAGGGTGGCGTACATCATTCATGTGTCATACAGTGTTCGGAAATGCTGACGGGCCAGAGGTGGGAAGCCTGGAGGAGAAATGGGAATTGATTATTTTTTGTGATACTCTTCTCCCTCCATCTGTCTCCCCTCCCCCCTCTCTTTCTAATCTGGATACTATTGACTTAGATCACACGTGGAACTGAGGAATCATGTATTTCGATGACGACAGATTGATGAACTTGCTGGAATGATTATCGCATGACATTGCACGACATTGCTGTGTGATGACATGATTGTTTGACGAGACTGGGTTCACTACATATATAGTTTTTCCAATCTATAAAAACAAAGGTAAAGGGCAGAAGACAACATACCTAACACAGAGGCTCCACCAGCAACAGAGAACCGACCAGAGGCAGCATAGTCCGAAAAAACTTGGAGAGCCCTCCGAGTCCGCCCACAAGCACAGCAGCACTGGCACTACTATTCCTCCCAAACAACACACTCACATCACCACTATCTCTATCACTCCATGGCTAGACAGTCCCCATCTGCTGTCTAGCCTCTGTAGTGTATAGAGTACTATAAACCCA